CCCCAAAACCCCAAAACCCCAAAACCCCAAAACCCCTTCAGATTAATATAGTTTTGAAAACAGTAAATTTAAATTTTTAAATATTCGATATGAATTATCATCCAAATATGATGTCAAGGACATGTCCTGGAGCTATTGGGAAAGCTACACAACAGACTTTTGGATATCAGAAGCAATATGAAGGGTATTTTTACTAATTTTCTACTGATTTTCAGGATAAAAACTAATATCCACTCTTTAACCTACGAATATAGAGATCTGGATTCTGGTTTAGCGATGGCTAACAGTATTCTAAGAGAGAATGTGAATCATGGGAATCAACCAAGCCAAAACTATCTAAATAGAGCAAAGTCTCCGATGATACAGATTGAAGACAAAGAGAATTTCAATAATTACATAAACAACGACATTTATAGCTTGCAAAATGAAAATTATCCTGAAGAAAATAATGCTGTAGAGGATAGACTATCTATAATGGATAAAGTCTACAAGCAAAGAAGACAAGAAAGAGCTATCGATAATACTTCTAAATAATAAAAAGCTGATCCAGGCTCCTAAAATAAGCAAAAATTCTAAGAAAATTTTGCAACAGAAGTATGGTAACTTCCCTCAAAAGAGAGTTGATCAGAGACTTTATGATGATCACCAAAAGAGACAAATGGCTCAAAATATGAGAGAGAAGCAAAGTAATATGCAGAACCAAGATCTGATTAACCCTATGGCCAGTCCTAGTTCTATGGCTTCTTACCACTCTGTTCAAGCCATCGGTGAAGGGGATGGTAATGAAATAGCCAATAGGCTTATGGATTATAAACTAAAATACAAAGATCATGAGAAGAATCTTCAGAAGAAATATGATGATAAAGAATGCACATTTAAACCAAAGATTAATACTAGGTCTGCTCAATATGCAAGCCAGCCATCATACGCAGTGTCATTAGAGTTCAGGAATAGCATGGATGTTAAATAAATACCAGAATAGAGAAAATAAGATTAAAAGCGACCAGAACTGCACTTTTAAACCAGAAGTAAGCCGGAAAAGCAAAGAACTGGCTGAAAAGAAAGAATATTTTGAAAACCAACCTTCTAATGTGTTTAACAGGCTCGGAGGTTATGCTAAGAATTCTGATGTAAAGAGCTTTGAAAATAGCAGTTGAGGGTACAACACTGAGAATAATTTCAAACCAACAGTAAATCCAATCTCTGAAGAAATTGATATCAATATTCATCATAATGATGAAAGGCCAAGGTGGGAAAGAGTAAATCCCAAATCTAATCATATAGCTATACCAGCTTAAAGATGAGAGAGATTACATGCTTAGTCAGAAGATGAAACTGAGAGAGTTCGAGAAGTTCAAAGAGGAGCAACAATGTACATTTAAGCCGAAGCTTCTCTCTAAAAGTGTTGAAAGAAAGACAAACACATCCACTTGTAATGAGTATTATCGTAACCTGAACTTTTCTCCTGACCTGAATGGTAATCTCAAACTAGCTTAACCTATAGTGCTTGACAGAATTACCAACAGGGATTATAATGTGAGATCTCCCATGAGATTCAGCTTTTCTGATCAAGAAAGATTCGACGAGGTGCCATCCCAAGAAATGGATGTTCATCAGAGAGCCCAGTTATGGACCAAAGCTAAAGAGAAAAAGCTTGAGAAAATCAGAAATAAATCCAAAGGCAAAGGCATGGAAGAATGCACATTTAAACCTAATTTAAAAAAGGGAAAGAGATCTAGGAGCAATCTAAGGGGCTCTAAGTCAATGAAGCGGTTCCAAACTGCAAATAGCATCCAGAAATATGTCAACAGAATCAGTGGGGTTAGAGAAACTAGAGATACGAAGGAAATACGAGAAGGAAAGAAGGTCGGAAGTGGCAAGAACTGGACCCATAGAATAACAGTTCCAAGAGAACCAGCACTCTCATACAAGAATGGGAGGAAGAAAGTGAAGAGAAAGAATGCCTCTATCGAGAGGAATATTTCGAAAGAACTACTTTCAAGAAATGTCTCTTTGAAAGATATTGACACTAAAAATTATAACAGAGACTATGATAATTCTTATAGTATGCACAATCATTATTACCAAGAGGATGAGTCTGAAACAATGTTACGAGAAAGCATCCATTTTGAGAATCTTCAGAGAAGCAGAGAACTAGCTGAACAGAAGCTTAGGTCTCATAATGAAAGTGGATTTTCTTATGCTTCTTCCTATAAATCAGGAGAGCAGAGTATTTTCAATCAAAATAGTTTTTCAAGATCTCAATCAAAGATCGAACAACTTAAGAAGAAAGTTATATCTCAGGTATCACCAAGTGAGAAGAATGTAAGACAAAGAGAGTCAATGGATGCTGTTCCAAGGATGGCCAAACCTCCTTTAGCTCCAACTGGATCAATGGCGCTTAATAAATCCAGAGAATCAACCCAAAAGATGTTGAGAATCAGTGACCAGGAGATATTAGAGGATGAAAATGAAGAATTAGGATCAGATGGTGAACAAGATGTGTACCAAAATGATGAGCCTCCTCATACCCAAGATAATAACTTTGATAGCGAATCAGTAGATATTGATGAAGACATCTTTGATGATCTTAAAGGGGTGTTCCACACTGTTATCCAGAATATATAAAAACAAGACTGTAAAATTTCTATAAATTTGACTCTTTGAGGGGTTTTGGGGTTTTGGGGTTTTGGGGTTTTGGGG